TAACAACTCAGTATTGTCCAGTTTATTTCTGTTGTTTCTTACTCCTGATAATTCCACAGAACAAACAGATAAAGAAAAAACTCTGTTTCTCTGGGTTTCTCCCACATGTGGTGATCTGTTAGATTCTAGTTGGTAGCAGCTTAGCACAGCCACAGCAGGACCTCGGAGGTCTTATGGAGAGCAGAATAAGATGGGAGACCCTCACAGACTTCACTGAGAAAAGTCCTTATTGCTGGGGACTGTGTACAAGATTGAAGGAGCCTGACTTGAGTCTTAGCTTCCTGCAGGCTGTTTGTAGCACAAGCAAGCACATTTTTTTTGCTTGTAAATTGAAGTTGAATCATCTGCAGTTGCTAGAACGCCCGTGAAATGCAAGCCACTCTTCACGCCATCTTTCAGGCGTGTTTCAGAGTAGAACGGTTGTTTTATGCTTGACATTTAGTGAAGAGTGTGCAAAGCCCAAAGCAGCATCTGGCTTTCAAAGAGCACATTGAATGCAGCCTGTGTGTCACCCATGTGTTATGTATTTGTTGCTGGCGCCTTCCGAGTGGTTTGTGTAACGACAAGATTCTGTGCTGGGTTTGCCCTTGCTCCCCAAGGACTAGCGAGATCTGTCTCTCATTCTTTCCTGTCATTTTTTGCTAGTATCACGGGAGCATGTGGAGCAATACAGAAACTCACCCGCGTGCGAGTGGTGGACAACAGTGCCTTGGGGAACACGCCGTACCACCGGCCGCCAAAATGTATCCACGTGTATAACAAGTCTGGAGTTGGCAAAGTAGGAGATACGATCCTCTTGGCTATTAAAGGAGAAAAGAAGAAGGCTTTAATTGTAGGGCAGAAGATGCCTGGCCCCACCATGACACCTAGATTTGATTCCAACAACGTGGTACTCATAGAAGATAATGGGAATCCCATCGGGACTAGAATAAAAACACCAATACCTTATATACTGCGCAGGAGAGAAGGAAAGTTCTCCAAAGTATTGGCCATTGCCCGCAACTTTGTATGAAAGCTAAGAAAGGTCTTTAGCAGTCCTGTTACATCCTTTCATACGGTAGCTGATCCTTGGTCCTTTTCTTGAAACTGGTGAAGCATGAAAAAGTTGAGGTTTGTCAGGAGTCTCTCCTCCTGTTTAAGAACCACAAGCAACTAGTTTAAATGTTGAAATAGTTTCTCCAAAAGAAGCTTGATTTATTTCACAGAACATCTGCAGTGTGTTCAGGAAATCGTCCTTCACCCTTAGTACTCCTGTGGTGTTAATTTGGTCTGTCATCATTAAAATAAGAACACGAAAATCCTTGTTCTATACTGCTTATGCTCTCTTTTCCCTATTTCTGCCTTTCCGAGTTGCCCAGGAGCAAGACACAAAAGCTCAGTCCCTGGCTCAATAACACTGAGTTCTGCAAAAATGGATCCACAAGTAATAGAGTACGAGATACATGATGAACTCTTGGTACCTCGGGCACTGTTAATAAAAGGATTAGTTTCTACATCTTTGCCGAAGAAAAGTGTTTAGGAGGAATCAGAATTGGGAGAGGATGTTGGCCTACAGTGTCAGTGGTGTGTGGTTGAACAGGGAATGCCATGGGTCTGGAAGCAGAAGTAGGAAGGGCAGCTGAATGGGGTGGGTTTGAGATGAAGCCTGTGCTCTCCACCTGACCAACCTCTGAAAATTGTGCTCTCTGAGCTATGCAAGGGTTGAGTTCAGATTGAAAAGTCCAGAGAGAGAAGCATCCTTTTGGCCTGCTTTTGGGGACCATGTCAGACATTGTCTGTGATGTCAGTAGGTGAGACTGGCTGTTGTCCAGCTTCCTAAGCTCAGGCACAACAAGTGGGCAAATGCTACTGTGTTGCTTTCAGGGCCAGATGTGATACAGGTGCCAAACAGCTGCCTTTTTATGGAGCTGAGCAGAGAAACTTGGTGCTCATGGCTAGTAAAGGTATATCAAGGCAGAGCACTCCTAGATACAGCAGTGCTGGGGAAGAAGGGTGCAGAGGATGCAGCCAGTGTGTCCTCACAGGTCTGGTGACAGTGGTGGCTGGCTATACCTTGTCCTTCTGCCTCCCCTTCCTGTTGTGCTGGGAAAGCTCCTTAACTTGGCTCTGTGTTGCCCCAGTGTGAAGATCTGAAGAACGCAGTGCTGAGCTATTCCATACACTAATTACTCCTTGCAGATGTTATCTGCCCCATGCTCCTCACTGTGAAATCTGCATTTCCCATGGAAGGAGCGAGCCCTGGTTCCCCTCATACTCCAGATAACAGAGATAAGATGATACTTTAAATTTAAATTCAATAGTAGACTTTAAGTAATGGCACTGTCACATTTAGTAAAACTTTCCTATGAAGTGGAGGGGCCCAAGGCTATGTGCTGGTCATTTCTGTGGGAAAGAAGAATTGTCTCCTTCTGGCAGCACATTCCTTGCTTGCTGTTGTCCATGGGCCAGTGAACATTGGGTCTGGTGCACCAAGTCCTCTGAGCCCCTTGGGCGTTGCCTTTTAAGCCCTCAGCCTGCCTGCCTCATAGGTGTCTGCCCACTGGCACAGCAGCGGAGCAGACGCTCGTCTGGCTGAAGTCAGTGTTTCCAGTCTATCCAAGTTCAGTCAACTTCCAGGAGGAACTGTCTGTGCTTGGAGGAGATGTTTACGCCATTTTGCTAAGTGGGATAGTGAACAAACTGCATGCCAGTCACAGCAATGAGTGTGACTGGCCTCGCTCCCTTGGATGGGGTTTGCTTCTGTGTCACAGGCATGGCACAGCCTGATGTCTCGAATATTGGCCCTCGCCTGTTTTTCCCTGGTTAAATTTGTTCCTGGAACAGCATGGGATGCTCCCAGTGCTCTTTTTTTTTTTGGGGGTGTGTGTGTGTGTGTGGTACTAGCGCTGGTATCAGCAAAGTTTAGTGCAGGGCTGAAGAGTGCTGAATCTTTCTGAGTTTAGCTAAGGTGTGGGAAAGGCAGCATTGTGCTCTGTCATCAGTGGATAAATCTTCACAGCCCACTTCAGGTGTGGCTTTTAGCTTTCTTAGAGCTCGTCTGACTAGCAGGCTAAAGTACTTAGCATAGAAAAAGGGTGTATGCTCCTATGCACTTTTAGGGAAAGTATTTATGCCACTCAGCAGCTCTGCAGCCTTGCTTTAGAAAACCTTCTGCAACCTTTGAAACTCTTCCAACCCTGATAAGCACATGAGCAAATACTTTTATTGTTTTTTAATAAACAAATCATAAGGTAGTTGACAGGTCTGTCACAACCTTCCTGCAGACTGAAGGACCTTAGTCTTCTTCAATGTAAATCCTTTTGAGAACCAAAGAGGAATATGTCTTCCACTAACACAGGGCTGGAAAACAAGAGTTTCAAATGGCACTTGTATGGAGTATTTCAATTCTGGGCAAAATCTGTGGGCAGAGTGGAAGTGGGGACCATCCCAAGCTGGAATACCTCAGTCCCAGCAAGCCTGTTCATAACTCGTCTAAAGGGACACTTTAGTGTGAGATTTTTGCTTGGCTACAACTCTAGCCTCCAAGCATCTCCCAGTAGGATCCAGGGGCCTGCAAACAATCCTTGTTTTTCTTGTCCTTACCATAAGGGGTATGAGTCTCTCATGGGATGCACAGACCCTGCTGTTTGGATATTAAACGTTTCACAGAATATTTGCTAATAACTTTCCAGCATTTTGCTGAGGAAAAGGTCATGGGGTGAGGGCACGAGAGGAAGCGGGCAAGACAATGCAGCATACTTGAGATTAAAATGTGAAGTGATGGTTTAGTTCTGAGTAAACTGATATGTGGAACTAAATCCTTAATCTTGGAGCTTAATAAGCAGACATGCAGACAGCTAAGCTAAGCATATGCCATAGTGTGTCTCCTGCAGTTTTTACCTGTCCTCTCTGATGAGGAACATAGCCTCAGCAGAAATCTCTGGCCTGTGGTGACAGCTCTGTGCTTGGCAAATTCCAGGCACTGCCTGTAGCAGCATCTCTCTGAGGGGAAGGGGCCAGGCTTGTGGATGAGCTGTTAGCCCGTTCCCACTTGTCCCACTGACTTTGGCCTTGCCATGGCTGCAGGATGGTCAGCCCCTGACTTCTCCAGTGCTTGTCTGGTGGCAAAGCCTGCACAGGCAGGGGCAGATGGATGGGGCCTTGCCAGCAGCCCAGGCTGATGTGGGTTCTCCAGGCTCTCTTTCTTTTACTCTGAGCAGGCCCTGCTCAAGGGTCCTCAGTTCCAGGTCATCTCTTTTGTTTTGGCACAGGGGATGATACCTGCTTGTTCTCAACTTCCAGGGTGACCTCTGCTTGCTCCTGACATGCCAGAACCTTCTAAGCAGCAAGGCAGTGGTGTGCCAGGAGCTGCTGGGTTTCCTGGGGTCTGGCTTGTGGCATCCTTCTTTGGGATCTGCCTGAGGCTGAGCTCTCCCCAAGTGGGAGGTTTTCCTTGTGCATCCACCCTGCTAGGAAAGCAGATGTGATTTCCTCTCTGTGTAGCAGTTCTTCCTGCAGGTCCTTTTCTTACAGGATGGCTGCAAGCAGGTGGGATGATTCCCTTAGATGAGGGAAGAAAAAACAAAACACTACCTACCTCAGCTGCTGCCAGGAGGTCATTGTCTCCTCTGCTCCCTATTCCTGTTTATTATTATGCCATTAACATGATTTTATATGGCAAATGGAAAAACTTCCCAGCGTGAGACATGCTTAGGAGGAGTTCTCTCATCTCCTGTGCAGTCTCTGAGGGAGCTGCCATCCACTGCAGAGGGAAGGGGAAACCAAAGGCAGAGTCTTCCCAGAGTCTTCTTGCCCCATTACAAATGTGCCTCCCTGGTCAGCTCCAGCTGGGTCCCTGGGTTAGCATCCATTCCTGTGCATTTGGATACAGGGTTTACACCAGCCAAAGCTCCCAAGAGTGTGCCTATTCATCTGGCAGTGGTGGGGACTTTGTGCCCAGACATTCTTCCATGGCAGTTGGGGAATGGGGGTCTTTTTTTAGGGTATCCTGCATGGGTAGGGAGAGATGGCCTTTGAGGAGATGCTTGCCCAGAAAAGACATGTGGCAAGGCTCTCTGGATGAGGGCTGGGGTCTGGAAAAAGACAGGCGAGCACTGGGGATTAACTGGCCGTGAGAAGAGGTGTCCCTGAAAGGAAACGGGCGAGACAGATTATCGTGGAGGGATGCAGTGCTGATGTCTTCCATCTGCTTGGAGACCGAGGCTGGGAGGCAGGCGGCCCTGTCTCATGGCCCTGCGCCAGCAGGGTGGATGGACCCCAGAGCTGGGGGAGGCAGCTAGTCACTTTGAGGGCTGGGAGGAGGGGAAGATAGCTGAAACCCCAGCCGAGCTGGGGGTGATGCAGCCAGAGACTGGACTTTGGTTTAAAGCGAGCATCGCTGGGTTGGCAGGGGAGGGCAGCAGCTGCACATCCCAGAGCGGGAGGCTAGATGGCAATGTGGGTGTGATGGTGTGCCCAGCATCCTGCCCGCACGGCCCCTGCCGCTCGGCGGCCCCTAAGCCTGACTGACACGTCGGGGTCGAAATCTCCCTTGTCAGCACGTTCCGCAGCCACCGGCCCGCAGCAGGGCAGCGGAGCCGCGGCCGGCGAGGAGGGAGATGGAGGCTTTGGGAAAAGCCTTTTCAAAGCCTTTCGGAGGCTTTGGAAAGCTGAGCCTGACCTGGTCCCCTGGGGAAAGACCCAGTGAGAGCCAAGGAGCTCTGACTGGTGTTGAGCTCTGTCTCCACGGAGGGTTGTTGAGTGACCAGGGGCATCATGGTCACATCTTTTATGTTCCGGTGAGGGTGAACTGGGCTAGGAAAATCACTGGGAAGGTGGGACTGCAAGCAGTGCTGTGATTCCCACGGGACTGGTAGCTGCTTGTGCTGGGGAGAGGAGGGACACGATGCCCTGCCCGGCTGCATGATGCTGGTTTATGGATTGCAGGGGGCTGGGGTGGGCAGCAGGGAGGCACAGTCTGGCTCTCTTGGGAAGCCCCAAGCTAGATCACTCTCCTGAGGCAAAGCAACCCCTCAAAATGCATTGTCACCCCCTGTCAGGGCCTTTCACCTAGAGACAGATGCCAAATCTCCTTCCCTGAGGGAAAAGCATGCCAAGCCTCAGGTTTGCTGGCTGAGCAGCATTTTCCACCCGGACGCTCACAGAGGCAGTGGCAGGACCCTGCCAAGCACTTCTGATGAGACAAGTGAGAGCTGTCGTGTTTTTAGCTGTCTGCTTCTCATCTGGAGGTGGCTGTGCTGTTTAGGATCCGTGTGACCTGGGGAGAACAATGAGGACAGGGAAACAGCAGGACCTGGAGCCT